GTGAGCCCTTCTTTTGTAGTTGGGTCTTCATTGTTGTTGGACTGTCGTTGAGTGGTGATGAACCTCAGGCTGGTTGACTATGAGGTTTGACCTTGAACACAGTGCACAAGCTGTTATGCGGGGACTTTACCCCTGAAGGAGAATTGGCCCCAGCAAGTTCTGGTGCCTTCCAAGATCTCCCTTTGGGTGTGTCACTTGTGTGGCTAATTGGGCCATGCTCAGATGTGGTATAAAGCCTGCCAATGGTTGTGTTTGTTTTGGGGACTCTTGGGAGGTACTCCGGTGCAGGCCAATGTCAGATGCTGCCTATAACAGACCTTGGGCTACCTGTCTGGAGCTACCAAGTGTTCCACATTTTGTGGCTGCCTCTGAGCCTGGGTGTGCATGGGAGGAGCCAAGCTGTAAACCAAGGTCAGCTTCCAGCAGCTCTGAGCCCAGGTGCAGGTCAGTAAAAGGTCCAAGGCACTCCAAGATTTACCTCTGCTTGTTGGATGCTCTGCTACTCTCTGAAGCTGCCTGGACTTCATCAAGAGCCTTCCAAAATAAGTCTGTAGAGTGGGCCTAGGCTGGCCTCAGCCCACAGTCTCCTCCACAAGGTGTGAGCTTGGCTGAGTGGGGCCACCCAGAGTTGGGAGGATGGAGCTATCAGATCTCCTGGTGGGGGGGTGTGCTGGTCAGATGCACAAGGGGAGGAAATGGCCTCTGCTCCAGTGTCATGCATTCAGTCTCTGTTCAAGTATCCAACAGTCCCTGAGACCATCCAGATCTCCTCAAGTGTTCCCCTCAAAAGAGTGCACCAGGGGCCCAAGCTATGTGCAGCCAGCAGACCTTTCTGCAGGGTGTGAGCTCAGCAAGGCAGGACCAGTGGGAGTTGGGAGGACAAAGCTCGTTTATCTCCTGTTAGAGGGCAGTGCCTGTCAGGTGCGTAGAGGGGAGGAAATGGCCTCCGCTCCACAGCCACACCACTCAGTCTCTGCCTGAGCATTCAACAATTCTTGGGTTCATCAGGATCTCTTCAAGTGTTCCACAAAGCATAGTGCACCATAGTCAGGCTGGTGGGGGTTAGTGGCCCCCACTACAGAGCCACACCACTCAGTATTTGCCTGAGTCTCCCTTAAGAGCTCCCCACAAAAGAGCACACATCAGGCCCAAGCTGGGCACAGCTAGCAGACTTTTCTACAGAGAGCAAGATTGGCAGGATAGGGTGACAGAATTGGGAGCACAGGATTAGTGCCCTGCTCCAGGCTGGCTCTGTATGGATAAGAGTGCTCAACCCAGGGAAGTTGGCACCTGTGGGTGGTGTTGGATAGGGACTCAGCCCATGGACCTTGACAGCTGACCCTCCAGATCTCTCCTTGGGGCCACACAACCCAGTTCTTCTCTGTATGACTCCAGTTTTCTCTGAGTTGCCGTCCCTCTGCCAGAGCCCTGGGTGAGTGTCTGAGAACTAGAATTTGGGCACTGGTTTTTTTGTTTTTTTCGTTTTTTGTTTTAATTTATCTTTATTGATTTCAGAGAGAGGAAAGGAGAGGGAGAGAGAGAGATAGAAACTTCAATGATGAGAGAGTCATCGATCGAGCCTGCAACCCGGGCATGTGCCCTAACTGGGAATCGAACCCTGATCACCTGGATCCCAGGTCGACGCTCAACTGCTGAGCCATGCCCAGCCGGGCTGTGCACTGGCTTTTTAAGAGGGCACTTCAGTTTCTAGCAGACTTCTGTCTCTCCTTACTGGACAGAATCCCTGCAGGTTTTCACAATCAGATGTTACGTGGGTACCTCTTTCCAGCTCTGGTGCTCTGAGCAGGGGAGCCCCAGTGTGGGGTTGAGACCTCTTGCTTCACAAGGGGGACCTTTGCAGCTGAGATATCCCTCTGGATTCTCAGCTTCGACACATATGTGCAGGGCCAGTCCTATTCATGTCTCCACCCTTCCTACCAGTCTTGATGTGGCTTCTGTAAATCCTTGGTTATAAGACATGTTCAGCTAGTCTTCAGTTGGTTATTCAGATTGATTGATCTATAATTTAGTTGTAATTCCAGTTTGGTGCTGGGAGGAGGTAAGTATAGCTCCCACTTATTCCATAGCCATCTTGGATCCTCATTGCTTTCTTTTAGTTAGCAACTGCATGATATCTCTTTACACATTCCTTTATTTCCAATATAATTTTATTTTATGGATATCTTTTGTAACTAACATCTAAGATGGATTTTGCTCTTTTACATATTCTGGGAACCTTTGTTTTTTACATGAGAATTTCAGTAATTCACATTTTAATGTGATTACTAATATGTTTGTTCTCATTTCACCAGCACGAAATTTTCCCTGACCAAAACACACTATTGGTAATGTAGGCTGTGGAGACAGATATGGTTTGAAGCCTGACTCTGTTCATTTACTAGTTTTGTGACTCTTGACAATGACTCACCTTTCTCATCTATAACATAGGGCTATTAATAGTACCTACCTGAATTGGGTTGTTGTGGAGATTTCAAAATAATTTATTGAATGCACCTAGCTCAGTGTCTGGCACAGAGAAAGTGTTCAATAAACATTGTAGTTATTATTGCTGTTATTACTACTATTTTTGTTGTGTGGCCACATACTAAGTATCAAAATTTTGTGATTTGAATCTAGATATTTAGTTTTATTCTTCTTCCCAAGTTATGGCTGTGTATCTCATCCCAACTACAGTCATGTGGCACTTAATGATGGGGATATGTTCTGAGAAATGTGTTGTTAGGCAATTTCATCTTTGTGTGAATATCATTGTGTGCACTTACACAAACCTATATAATATAACCTCCTACATACCTAGGGTCTATAGTATAGCCTATTGCACCTAGGCTACAACCCGGTATAGCATGTTACCGTACAAAATAACAGGAGATTAAATCAAGCACACACAAAAAACACCCCAGGGCAATCAAGAGATGTGGTAAACTTGAGCTATATGAGTCTGCTCCTGGAATAACGTGACATACTGTTTTACAGCAAAATTTTTTTATAAGTAGAAAGAGTATAGTATAAAATAGTGATAAAATGTATAGTATATTAAATACATAAACTGGTAACATAGTCATTTATTATCATTATCAAGTATTATGCACTGTACATAATTGTATGTGTTACACTTTTATATGACTGGCAGCACAGGTTTGTTTACACCAGCATCAGCACAAACACGTGCATAATGCCTTGTGCTATGACATTATGGTGTTACTAGGTGATCAGAATTTTCCATCTCCATTATAATCTTATGGGGCCACCATTGTATATGTGGTCTGTCATTGACTGAAACATTGTTATGTGGCACATGACTGCATTAGGTATTTCTATTTTGAAATCTCTTTGTAAGCACAAACTCAACATGTCCCTTTACAACTGGCATCTTCCTATAGAACTTCTTTGCCTCTTTCAATGGCAGAATTACTTACCTAGTCTCTAAATCTTGGCATTATCTTGATTCATACCTCATCTAGTTAGCCAACACCTAACTTGCAGGTGTTGTTTAAAATGACTCTTGTATCCTTATTTCCTACTCTATTTTTACTACCGCCAATCCAGTGTATCTCCTCATCTCCTCATACTTAGATTAGTTTCCTTGATATCAGATTGTCCTCACTACAGTATATACTGTCATAAAATCAACATCATTTTCATCATGTCACTGCTTACTCAAAAACTTTAGTTTCAGACTTCTGAGAAAACTATGTTTTAAATATCTGCTTATTTTCAAGGTTTCCATAACCTGAACCCACTTACTTATCCAATTTTATTGATAATTATACTCTAACACGCAAAGCCCATTCTGGCCTCTTCACTGCCCACTCACAAGTCAAGCTCATCCCTGCCTCCAGATCTCACTCATGGCATTTTTTCCCTCACTTAAAATACCTTTGCTTTTTCTCTTCTCCCACATGAATAGTGCTCATCTGAAAAACTTGAATAAGTCCCACTTAAGTCAAGAAATTTTCTTTGACAATTTGATCACCTTCACTGTAAAATACTAATATAAGGGTTTAGTGCTTCTTTATATACTGTTTTGAATTATTTTCTATTACTTTGAGTATTAGCATTGTCTCTCCAATTAGACTTTACACTTTCTGAAGAAAATTCTTGGAACACAGTAGTTTTTAAGTAGGCACTTGTTAATTGTCTTAAATAAATAAGAAAGATAAAATGAAGGACTACCCTACTTCTTCAACTCTTGTGCTTTTGAAGCACTTTAAGAGGTATTAGCAAAATCCCTAACAGTCTGTCCGAACCTTGAATGGTTTATCACAAAGGATTCTTCTCTAATGAAAAGGAATTCTATGTACTTTGGCGGTACAAACAGGCTTTTGGAAGCAACAGAGACACAGAAAGAAAGCAATGCTTCAGCATTGGCTGTAGTCCTCCAGGAACTGAGAAAAATAAAGCCTATCACCCAGTTTCAAGTAAGTAATTTCAGGAAGCCCAGATAATAAAGGAAAGAGAAACTGAAAGCCTTTTTACTTTTCCCTGCTAGATTTTACTGGTTCAGTTAGACAGGCCTTGGAGGGAGATGCCTGGGAATTTATCTATAAAATCTTGATGCTCCACTGGAGTAAGACAGATGCAAAATGTAGTATTACTTACTTAATATGAATTGTATTTATGAAGTTTCTGCAAATTGACCTAGAAACCAATTATCTGAAGTAACCTTCAACCAAGTTATTCTACTACATTAAAAAAAAAATTATAGCTCTCTAACCACCTAAAATATTCTTATGTATTAGTTTATATTTGTAACATATTTATTCTAAAGCATAAGATCCATGAGAGTAGAAACCTCATCTCCCTTATTCACTTCATGTATCCTCAGTGCTTAGAAAACTTCCTGGCACAAAGTAGGAGCTAATAAATAACCGCTGAAAGAATAAATAAGAAGTAGCTCTCTAGTGACCCTAAGATTTTAAAGGACTAACCACATGACTTATTCCAAATAAATATTCATCCCTTGCATCATACCACCTTACCAAGCATGGTGTGTGAGATGGGGAAGGTGATGGTGGGCTGGCCTGTCATCCTCCAACGGCTACAGAGGTAGGAAAGGTCTGTTCTAAGCATTTCCACTATCATATTGTTGTCCAGAGCCAAGTAGAACTGTTGCTGGTCTATAAACTGAGAAAAATTAAAATAACAGCTTAGAGTAATTTACTCTTACAACTATCAAATAATATTTTAAAGTAATCACATATTCACAAGGATATATATGATGTCACAAAGGCAACAATACCTCCAAATGTAATTCCTAATTCTTCCCAAAGCATCTGGTGGTCCATTGATACATATAATAATTTTGACATTTTACAGTGTGTTATAATTTACAAAGTGTTTTTAAGTACATAATTTTACTTAATTCTGCAACAATCCAGTAAGGGCTTTTCTTCTTTTATAGGTAAAAATAAGGCCAAGAGACATTAAGTGGATTAGCAAAGTCCCATGGCTAGCAAATGGCAAGATCAAAAATATCATCTATGGTCCAATATTTTTTGTCTATATCTCAGCTGTACTAATTCAGATGTAAGATGACAAATGGAAAGCTTAACTTTCTTTCCAGAAAATAATTTCTCCTCCCCGTATAAACAAATAATCAGGCTTGTTAATATAATGTGGCCAATAAACATCAGGGTAACAATCATGGTTAAAACAATACTGACATTTTTGTTTAAAAGAGGATATCAAAGATCTCCAGGCTTGTTAAAAGGGCCCCTCCTTCAAACAAAGAGAACACATAGTTTGGTAAATGAAAAAAAAA